TGGCTTAACTGGATCTGGAAACACACGGTTGCTCACACAGCCCTCCTGTAAGTACCTGTATTCTTCTCTTTAGCCTAGGATTGCTGCATATTGATGGTCTGTTTGGGAGCAACAGCAAGTACAATATGATTGACATCTTCGTCCATTTCCGTAACATATAACTTATTGTTGTGACCACACAGTTACTAGATAGTATAGCGTAATTTTTCTGGGAAATCTTAGGATTCACGTTTTTTCCTTCTCAATTTGCAGGTATTGTAGGGAAGTTAAGAGATTACCAATTAGCTGGTTTAAACTGGCTCATTCGGCTGTATGAGAATGGTATAAATGGAATTCTTGCTGATGAAATGGTAAACAATGGCTCCCCCCAATGGTTCAAGCAAAATAAGTTCTCTATTTTCTATAAAGCTAACCATTAAACCATTTTTTTCCCTGTCACCTAGGGTCTGGGGAAGACGCTGCAAACAATTTCTTTGTTGGCCTACCTTCATGAATACAGGGGAATCAATGGTCCACATATGGTAGTTGCTCCAAAATCAACCCTTGGTAATTGGATGAACGAAATTCGCCGGTTCTGCCCTGTATTGCGCGCTGTGAAGTTTCTTGGTAATCCTGAGGAAAGGGTAAGTCACCAGCTGCATGCCATCTCAGAGTTCATGTAAATGATAACCCATGATTCTGATATGTCTGCTAAAAAATGCAGAGACATATTCGTGATAACCTGCTTGTTGCTGGGAAATTTGATATCTGTGTCACAAGCTTTGAGATGGCCATCAAAGAGAAGACAGCACTGCGACGCTTTAGCTGGCGTTATATTATCATTGATGAAGCTCATCGAATCAAGAATGAAAATTCACTCCTTTCTAAAACTATGAGACTTTTTAGCACCAATTATCGGCTTCTTATCACGGGAACCCCCCTTCAGGTATTTGCTCTATCTTATTCTAATTTTATGTTGAAACAGCCTTTCTTATATGAGTTTGTTGGTACTCTTAGTTTTACTTCTTAATTCCTTATACTTCATGTTTTCTTCTTATATGCAGAATAATCTCCATGAACTGTGGGCTCTCCTCAATTTTCTTCTGCCTGAGATTTTTAGTTCAGCAGAAACTTTTGATCAATGGTTTCAAATTTCTGGCGAGAATGACCAGCAGGAAGTTGTTCAACAACTTCACAAGGTATGTATGTACTTATTGCTTCTATTGAGCTTATTCTGTCTTAACTGTTAGGGTAATCGCCTTCCTGTATCTTTATAGGTTCTTCGACCTTTTCTTCTTCGGAGACTAAAGTCAGATGTTGAGAAAGGTTTGCCACCAAAGAAGGAGACGATACTTAAAGTTGGCATGTCTCAGATGCAAAAACAATACTACAAGGCTTTGCTGCAGAAGGATCTTGAAGCGGTTAATGCTGGTGGAGAACGCAAACGTCTGCTAAACATTGCAATGCAGCTGCGTAAATGCTGTAATCACCCTTACCTCTTCCAGGGTGCAGAGCCTGGTCCCCCATATACCACAGGAGATCACCTTATAACAAATGCTGGTAAGACTAGCATTCGAACGAAATCCTTCAGATTTATGTCTAAATGTTTTTTTGAAGCATGTATATATTGTTATTTTTTTTAGGCAAGATGGTTCTCTTGGATAAATTGCTTCCTAAGTTGAAGGAACGCGATTCGAGGGTTCTGATATTTTCTCAGGTAAACACTGATATAGAACAGCTGGAGATGATTTTTTTATTTAAAGTTCATCTTCTTTATTTCCATTCTGTCGTTTGAAGTCTGAGCATTGTTCTTTTCTTTGCTCATATTATGTTAGATGACAAGACTTTTGGATATTCTTGAGGATTATTTAATGTATCGTGGTTATCTATATTGCCGTATTGATGGAAATACTGGTGGTGATGAAAGAGATGCCGCCATAGAAGCCTACAACAAACCGGGAAGTGAGAAATTTGTTTTCTTACTATCTACTAGAGCTGGAGGGCTTGGTATCAATCTTGCTACTGCAGATGTTGTGATCCTTTACGATAGTGACTGGTAAGTCTCTTCTCATGTCCATTGTAGTCTATGAGTATTCTCTTCACATTTGACGAGTCTGGCGGATTTTGGCAGGAACCCACAAGTCGACTTGCAAGCTCAGGATCGTGCCCATCGGATTGGTCAAAAGAAAGAAGTTCAAGTGTTCCGTTTCTGCACTGAGGTTTGTATTCTCTCCGTGTTTGCCAAGTAAAAATAGCCTATGAGAGTTAAAATTAATTATGTATTGGCTGTTTATAGTCCGCTATTGAGGAGAAGGTGATTGAGAGAGCTTACAAGAAGTTAGCGCTTGATGCTCTGGTGATTCAACAAGGGCGATTGGCAGAGCAGAAAAGTGAGTTCTTTATCCTGAGATTGCAAAATGCATTGGTTCATTTATGACAGATTTTATATTTATCTGTACTATGCAGCTGTCAATAAGGATGAGTTGCTTCAAATGGTACGATATGGTGCCGAGATGGTGTTCAGTTCTAAAGATAGCACAATCACTGATGAGGATATTGATAGAATCATTGCGAAAGGAGAGGAAGCAACTGCTGAACTTGATGCCAAGATGAAGAAATTCACAGAGGATGCAATTCAGTTTAAAATGGATGACAGTAAGTCTGTCATGGACCTTTTTCCCTTTAATACGTTGTGTGAATATTGTAATGTTTGGATAACAACCTATTGTTTATTTGTTGCAGGTGCTGACTTCTATGATTTTGATGATGACAATAAGGTAACTCTTGTATATTTCTTTGCACCGTTTAAGCTTTCATGTCATACCCTAGTTATGCTCTGCATTATTGAACATAATTTTT